TAGAACAGGATCAAGACCCCCAAGAGCTTACTGTTACATTTTCAGGAATTCTGTCAGCTGGCTGTTAAACACAGACTACTAAAAATTAAATTATATAAATGTATAATTTAAAAGATCATAGTACAAACAGCTAATAAATACTGAAAACATCATAGGTCCTAATTAATTTACTACATTTTACTATTACTAAATAGCTTTTAAGGTTATTTACAACGAACCTGTCTCTCTGGTGAAAACACAATGGAAATGGTGCACGACAGCCTAGTCCCCCCAAGTTCAGGGACTTCACGTGGAGGCTCGCGATCCCATTGCTGGGGAGCATTTACACCACAAAAATTGACACGCAAAAAGAAGAAGGGCTTAGTCTCAAGAGAGCAGAATGTTAAACACTTACCAGCACACCCCTGTCCGACTAATCTCCGAGATTCTAGACCCCTGGGCACACCCTCAGCCCAGCTTGCTGAAGCAACGCTGTGTATTATTGAATTTAAAGAGCGCAAGGGACAAATTAGTACCACAGCGAAGAGAATCCAGGGACGCTTGAATCGTATCTCCAGTCTTGGCCAACCTTCCCTATGAGGCTCACAAGACAGACTGACCACAGTCCCTTGGGTGTCGCTCTCCGGTGTCCGTATTCGTATTCTCTGCTGGACTCGCGCGGGGACCTTGGGGCGGAGGCCTCTCCCGCACGGGCTTCAGTGCTCACCTCCCACGGCCCTACTGCTCGCCCTTCTTTCTTCTGCGCACACACAGCTCGAGCCATCTCAGACTTTTGTCATTCCTCAGATACTCAACGCCAGGCGTTTACACACTCGGAACCCGGCGGGCACCACGCTCGCAACCTGCATGCTGGGCTCTGAGGGGGGTCGAGCTGCTGCTCAGCCCCGTGTGCTTGCGTGGCGGAGAAATCTGTGATCTTACTTGTCGAGAGAAAACAGGAATCTGGATCTTTGTAAAATAAGAATTTCCCTCATTTAAAGTAAAAAGTATTTCAAATTGTCATAAGTAACTACGCGAGGTGGATATGCTAACCTCCCTTACTGTGGCAATCATTCTACAATATATCCACATATCAAATCAGTACACTGTGCGTGTAAAACGTACACAGTGTCGTATGTTGATCGTTTCTCAATCAAGCTGGAGGAAAAGAAGGTAAATAAAACACATGGCATTTCTCAACTCCTGGGAAAAACCCTTTTTTTCCATGAGTACTCCAGGCTAAACCAACTGATGGTGAGAGGTGTTGAGTTCCCAGGCCACCAGTGTGAGGCGTCGCAGCCTCTCAGCCCACCTGATTTCAGCGCAAACACTCGTGCACCTTGCCAGCATCTCTCATTAAACATGAGAGGTCACTCTCAGCGGTCCTGGCCCAGGCTTTTGAGAGAGCCTCACACACAACCTAGAAAATGCAAATGTGGGTGTGGTTCTCCCCCGGGCACCTTTAGCCAACAGGTGAAAGGAGTTGGCGAATCCAAGTCCCAGCATTCCTGCGCTCTGGTGGGACAATTCTGAGGCACTTCTAAATGATTCCTCAGGGACACCCCATGGGGTCGGACTCCAGTTGCCCCTAAGGCTAACAGGCTCATCAACTTCCTCTGAGTTCTCATTCCACGCCCTGGAGTCACCCCCAAGCAAGCTTTTCTGCACCCAAGTCCTTGTCTCGGTTTGCTTTCGGGGAACCGAAACCCTCTACGTGGACGGATGCTCTTACTCCAGGTTTTCGCACACGCTGTCTCCTCTGTCCTGAACACTCCTGAACAGCTCTTCAAGAATCTGTTAAAGATCAGTTCGTCCGTCAGTCTTCTCTGACCCTCATCTCTTCGAATGCCGTGGGATCCCACTGCACTGTTTCTCTAAGCACAACGCTCCCGTACTTGCAAACCCTCAAGAAGCTACAATACAAAGAACCCTATACTCTCTGAAGTTTTAACAACATGTTCATTTAATCCTACTGACCCCATTCCCATTCCTATTTTACAGGTGAGGAAAACGAAGCTCAGGAAACCGGACGTAGGCGGACTTGAACTCGCGGGACATCTTCCAGTGCGCTAGCTCCCTTAAACCTGAGGCTTCGTGCCCAACATTACAGTGACTAATAGGAGTAGTCAGTTCCCCAGGCTGAGGATTTGCCAGCAGTGGCTCACGAGCACCCAGGCAAAGCAAACCCCAGGGGAGGGCAGGGAGGAAGGTAGGTCAACTAGGCTAAACTCGAATTTCAGGAGTGGCCTTTTATTTTTTTCAATGTGATATATTTTAATAAAATGAAGGATAAAAATCATGTGATCATCTCAATAGATGTGGAAAAAGCATTTGACAAATTAACAATTTATGATAAAAACTTAATAAAATGGGTATAGAGGGCATGTATCTCAACATAATAAAAGCCATATATGACAAATCCACAGCTAATAACATAGTCAACAGTGAAAAGGTGACATTGTTTTTTCTAAGATCAAGAACAAAACAAGGATGCCACTCTCCCTACTATACTAATTCAGCATAGTATTAGAAGTGCTAGCCACAGCAATTAGGCAGAGAAAAGAAATAAAATTACACAAATTTGAAAGAAAGAACTGTCACTATTTGCAGATGACATGATATTGTATATAGAAAACCCTCGACTCCACTAACAAGCTCTAAGAACTAATAAATGAATTCACTAAAGTTGCAGGATACTTGCCTTTTAAAGGAATATTTAAAGAGCACAAACAGAAATCCACAGAAGATGTAAGTAGCAAATTTTTTGTTGTTTTAAATTTCAGACATTAGATTTTTTTTTGTCTCTAGAAGTTCAATCTATTTTATATTTTACATTTTTTCCATCATGCTCACACTTTCTTCTGCCTACTTGAACACACGGAGAATGTTTTTACATCCCTGTCTACTAATTCCGCCATCCATTTCAATTCTGAGTCTGGCTGTTCCTTTTTAAGGTGAAAAAAATTTGGGGGTGCCTGGTGGCTCAGTAGGTTGGGCATCTGCCTTCAGCTCGGGTCATGATCCTGGGGTCCTGGGATTGAGCCCTGCATTGGGCTCCCCACTCAGCGGTGAGTCTGGTTCTCTCTCTCCCTTTGCCCACCCCCCACCCCGCTCTTGTGTGCTCTCTCTCAAATAAATAAATGGAGAAAATCTTAAAAAAAAAAAAAGATGAAAAAATTACTAAGATCTCTTTTGGGGATAATTAGTAATCTTGAAATTTACACTAAATCATTCATAGGGTATCAGAAAATATAGTCTTCAGAGAAAGCTCTCAATATATTTAGTTCAATAGCATTCAGTGTAATATGGAATTAGGGATGATATCAGAAAACTTTGAGGGACAGGAATTCAATCTCTCATGTCATAATAAAATTTAGACATGAAACATAATTTACCACTCACTGCTTCTTCCTCTGTTTCTAAAGAGAATGTTAAAAAGTTTGGGCCTGGATTAGATATCAGTGACTGAATACAACTGTATTTCCACGAGTTTTTAATTTAAATAGTGAAACATTAAAACAAAGACCCAGGGGCGCCTTGGAGGCTCAGTTGGTTAAAGAGTCTGCCTTTGGCTTGGGTCATTGATCTCTGGGTCCTGGGATTGAGCGCTACATCAGGCTCCTTGCTCAGCAGGGAGTCTGCTTCTCCCTCTCTCTCTTCCTCCACCCCTGCTTATGCACTCTCACTCTCAATCTCAAATAAATAAAACCTTAAAAAAAAAAAAAAAGGCCCAGATTTATGTAGAGAGTTTTATTTATATAAACACAAAATTTCCATCAACAGTTTCAATTTCAGATGCACCTGGTGGACACACTGCCTCTAAAAGGTACTAAAAAAAAAAAAAAATACACACGTAGCTTAAACTCTACTTGTTGTTAAAGCACTTTGTTTAAATCTTGCTTTACAAATTACAATGGCTATCCCCACTGTACAGGTTAGAAAACTGAGGCTGGCAAATGAGGCCAAGACTTGAATTCAGAAGTCCTGAGCCATTTCTTGGGCAACATTTTCCACTAAAACCTAGTAGCTGCCAGGAGCAGAGAGGCCTTGCTCAAAAGCCAAATTAAAATCTTTCATTAACTCATAGTGAACATGGAATCTGGCTTAAGCCAGAGTGAGGTCAAAAGTCACTCAAGGTCCATTTAGTACTTTTATACAGAAAAGGGCCTAGATTCAAAGTCTGCCCCCGTAAGATTGTGTAACAACCAGGTTCTTGAAGACTATGATCCAAAGACAGGATCCTGCTCTGTACCATGTTTTTCCCCAACCGAATGCCAGGGACTTACTGAAATGCAGCTGACCAACGATGCAGCCCTCAAACCTGTATAACACGTCACCCCAAATACCCATTCTGAGTTTCTTCCCAAATGAATGCATGAGACTAGTGTCTATCTTCCTGTGTGAAGGACTGCACTTGAGGTTTTCATCTCCCGGTTTCTCATTTTAGCGAGGCAGGTAACGTATCTCGCAGGGAAGGAACTGGACTTCCAGATAGGCTAAGTAACTGGCTCAGTTAAAGAGCTGGTACTCAAACCTGGAAGTTATTCTGGAGTCGTGCTTTCTACAAAAGAAAGAGGAAACCACAGAGATGGATTTAAGAGTAAGCTCACAAATATACTGGAGGTCATATCCAAAGCCTAAATATGTGTGTGCATGCCGTGTGTGTGCACATGTGTACACACACGTATGTTTATATGTAATGTGACAGTTTTGGGAATGAGCGTCACTTTTCATAATCTCCTAGATGCATGGTTTTAAATTGAAATACAACACAGACTTGGAACAGTGCACAAATCATAAGCATACAGCTCAATGAGTTTTCAAAAATTCAATACATCCAGGTAACCAAAGAAACAGAACAGTACTAGCCCCTTCCGTGTCCTGTCCTTAAGTTTACTTTCTAAGGCAGCCTTTAGGATTAGAATCAAAGTCAGATGTTCATCAGAAGCAAATAGGGAAACAATGTTCATTTTCCAACTCAAAGACCAGAAAGAAAGAGAGAGGTTTTAAGGCTCAAGAGGTGCATTTTAAAAAATTATCTTTATTTAGGTTTCTGATTCAGCACATGTATCAAAGACTAATCAACATAAAGTAAATAAGACATTAATTGGAAGTCTTACATCTCTCTAAACTCTGACCAAGAATGTCAAGATTGCCACTATTACCAGAACTCCAACCTAGTCAAGTTGTAAACAAGCTATCATGAACATACAGTGTGCACGGAGATGCAGAGGCAAAGACATGCTAGCACTTGGCTCTCCTCTCTTCCTTGTTGATGTCTTTCTGTTTGACAGTCCATTTTTGCTTTCCATGCTGAGTTCCAAATAAAGTCCAAAGGCTCAGGGTCAACCTGATTAAAACCTCTTCCAGAGGAATGCATTCCTAAACTGTTGTGCCTGCAACTTTGTTTTTGCCAGGATGAAGTTCAGATCAAGATGTACACTACAATCTCAATGACGGTGCAGACTGAGTCAAGAACTGAAGTTGAGCAGTAACCCGAGTTAAGGCATGAATGCACACACACACACACGTGCACACACACAGCACCCACACTATCGTGAACATAGGATTCCCTCCACCGCCTCACGAGAGGCAACCAGGGCTTGGCTGTTAACGACTGCTGAGCATTCTGGAAATGCTCCCCATAACAACATGCCAACAGCTGTGTGTGTATGTTAAAAAAAAAAAAAAAAATAGAAAAAAGAAAACAAGAAAAAGAAACCAGAAACGAAAACCTAAAAACCCCTTAATCTCTTACAATGGCTCTTGAGCATGGAACTCGTGTAGCAGCGTCAACAGCTGGCTCTTTAATAAATTTGGAAATAAAAGGTTGTTTTACTATGTATTTCTTTGGTAGTTACCACTACAAAGTTTTCAGTGTTGGTTACCTATAAGACAAGTACTAGACAGAAGATCAGGTTACATAGAAATGATTCTTCCGTACTGGTAAGATAAAAATATTGTGCTCTCGAAGCACAAGTTACTAGGCTTTTTCTTGCCTTATTGGGCATCCTCTATAAGCAAGGCTTCGTGCAGGAAAAGTTCATGTCTACCTAACAGAGAGAGATACATATTCTATTTTCCTACAGTTGAACAGTTAACAAAAATTCACATTATCAGTGATCTCTGGTCCAATCAGTTAGAAGCCAATTACAAAGGGACAACGGCACTTGGTGCCAAAGCCACATTCTGGTCACACATTCATCCCATGGTTGGTCAGTATCGCAGGAGCTCAGAGTTTAAAACTCCTCTCAATTAACAGGGAGCAAGTTAAATTAAATATTAAATATTTCCACCATCTGCCAAATTTCTGGAATTCTGTCCAGAATGCCAGCATGCTTGATGAGAGAAAGCAGTTCAGAGCCCAGAGAGGTGTCAGGTATTGGAGAAGTTAATTTGGTTTTGTATAAAAGGCATGGTAATCTGGCAACAGAGTACTTATCCTATTAGCAGCACAGTGGTAGCCAAGGGTCTCTGTCCGCAAGACAGGGAAGGGAAGCTCCTAGAAGCTACTGGTGCGCCCGCCTGCCCGCGGGCCGGCTCCTGATTGGACAGAGGCCTTCAGGGAACCGCTCCAGGGTGCCCCTGGGCGCGTGGGCCGCAGAAATGGCAGGAACCATATTCAGCCCCCACGAGAAGCGGCCGCGGTAAGTCAACTTCCCATGGGTGAGGGGCCTCTTGCCTCCATTGGCTTGCGGTCTGAATCTGATGGGTCCCTGGTGGCTGAACCATCAGCAAGAATGGTCCTGGCAGGTGCACTACCCGTGAGTGACAGGTGCCACGCGGGGTCAGAAACCACCTGAGAAGGACCTGAAACAGCACAGATTCAAAAGAGTAGTGTTTGTTCTACCAATTCTGAATGTCCGCAGGGAGAGGCAACTCGATCTACATCGAAAAAGTGCTGTTTGAAGGAGCTGTGTTTTATTTTGAAATGAAATGACGAGTCTAGGGAAACCAGCACTCCATTTCTGCAAAAGTCTGAAAGTCAGGAACCTGTTTCTAAAAGGCGTTTGTTAGGAGCAGTTTGCTCACGCCAAGTGCTTTTTCAATCACCATCTGGCAATGTTTCGACTTTTGTGCTTTCAGGAGGGAACCATTGACAGGAAGTGGAGGGAAGCTCGTTCCGTTATGGACTTTCTCGTTTGCGTGCAAGCCACTATCCAACAGCATTAAATTCTATCAGCTCATGAGAGAGTCTTGTAAACATAGACCATACTTCTCCTATAAGAAAAACCAAGAACTGTACCGTGAAGGCAAAATGGGTTTGCCTCCTCTCAGAATTCCTCGGAATGGCAATGTACCAGGAGGGGCGGCAGGCTGTTGGTGAGATCCCCAGGTTTGCTAGGACCCCGTCTGATCAAATTAAAAACCTAAAGCCTCAATAATTAAATGCCAAACTTCTTCCCCTTATTTGAGAACTGTACTATGATTATGTATATTACATACAGATTATAAATAAAATTTATATAGACCAATTGGGGAGTGAAGTTCAGGGGTGGAAGCAGGAAGAGGTGAAAAATCCTATTGTTGCTTTTACTCTCCAGTTCTTAAAATGCTAGTCAAACACTATTTTCCAACAAGACTTGTTTCATTCTGTAATTCTTAAATATGCATTCGAAGGCAAAAATGGAAGTTTCTATACTGTACACTATTAAATATCTACAATGTCACGGTTCCTTATTTTTAGGAGTGTGTTCAATAAAGCGCTAGCTATTAGAGATGGGTGTCACAAAACATGGACTCTTAAAAATTACTGATAAATTAATTTTCAGTTCTCTGATTATATCCAACAGATACACATTCTCATCATAAAATATACATTCTCTAGTAAGTTATTTTCGTCCACAGCATATATAAATATGCAAACACAGGTGGTAAAAATCACTTTACTACCAAAGTACAAAACAGTAACTGCTGAAAAGCAAAAATAAAGATGTTGCAAGTATTAAGAAAAGAGTGACTCACAGTGTTCCACTTCCAAGTGAAACCAAACGATTTATTTGTGCTAAATGAGTGGAAATAACGTATTCAGAGTATACTTGTTTGTACACCGCACTTGCTTATACTGGGCGACACAAGCGCTCATCCAGCTAATGTGCTACTTTCTTCTCACCTCTTGTCTCTTCTGCCAAGCAATAAACTATTCTGTGGCTCTTATGCCAAGAGATTCCTATAATGTTCATTTCAAATAGTACTTTCTAATAGTATTTTGCACCTTTAAAATATTTGTTCAAACTCTATTTTAGGGGAACACGAAGAATGGAAAGGGGAAAATAGCTGTTTCTGTTACAATCATGTTGCCTTCTGCAGCAGAAATCAAAGAGTGTGTCTAATCAGCCATCAAAACCACCGGTGGGCAGGACAACATTTATCGACTCGTGTTAGAGGGGCCAGTCTGGGTAGGTTAACACTAAAGATAAGGAAAGAATCACACCTTAATATACAATAATTATCCATCCCATGTGTATGTGGAAAAGGTACAGCCATGTGATCCATTACTTTAGCCTATCTGTTTCACAAGAGACATGGATGTTGACATATACTGAAAATAACCTATAAAAAGTGTATCTGTAGAAAGCTCTATCAAAGAGTATATATTGTCTTGGGCAATGATATCTAACTTTCCATTCTACACCGAAAGCTAGATTTTCAAAGGTCTGAATTGTAGTGCTGAATTATTGGTATGTTTGGTAAACACCATTATAATGGGGGGCGGGGGGGGGAGTAACAGCTCAGTAATTTTCTGCAAATTCATGAAAAAAAAATGTAAAAAAGATATCCCTTTTTATTTTACAAACCTAAAAGCCAGGAAAATGAAGCTCTGGGGCCAAGCAAAAATTGCACACTGCTGCTGAATTACCAAATATCGAATAGCAAATGTTCCAGCCAGGGAATGGACGTACATGTAGATTCAAGTAAAACACTGATGGAAAAAGTCATCTGTTTAGTGTTGTAGACCCACAACACTGGCTGCGTTTCTGACAAACACTTACAACACAATTAATAGTGAAGCCTAGATAACCTCAGTGCAAATAAGTCAGATCCAAAAATGCCAGGGAAGGAAGCCTTTGGCGTTGAGTAGACGGCTCCACTGTACGAGTCCCAACAGGAGATGCAGACTAAGCACATGCATTAAGGCTGGGAGGAGGGGTGCACCGGATGTTGCGAAGGGGCGGGCTGCGAGGTGGCTGCCGAGGGGGCCGCAGGCTGCATGGGCGGCGGAGGTGGAGGCGGAGGGGGCTGGACCGGGGTCTGTGTGTTGGGAGACGGAGGTGGCGTGGGCCGTTTGAATTTGTCAGGACTGTTGCTTCTCCGCGGTGAAGGCCTCTGTAGAGAGGACAGAACAGCAGGTCAGTCTGAGTCCAGACGGCTCATTTCTAACAGCCTGACAAGTGGGGGCTAGTGAAAAGGGGGAGCGACAGAGACAAGAAACTAGCGAGTTCCTTGTCTAGCCCCACTGGTTTCTGAACTACTAATGAAAACTTAAGGTGGAGTTTGCACCTACACCCAAGAGAAAGCTGTGCAAAATTACTATCAAACTTGCACTGACCAAACTACTGGACTTGGGCCCCTCGATGGGACAGTCCTAGAATTAAGACAGCTGCCTCATCCTCCACTCTAATCTTTTCTGTCCACTGTCTGTCCCCAAGTTCCTTCCATCACTCAAGTAAGTTGTCAACATCCTGAAAGCTGCAGCTCAATCAAATGTTTCTTTTTACATAAAGCCCATCAAACCAATAAAAACGGCTTCAGGACTACCTCCTGCTTTTGTAGAGTAAGAGTCTTCTTTTAAAGATTCCCTTATCGGAAATACCCTCACTTCTCTCCTATTCTCAAACCCCCATTAGTTACATTTCTAATCGCTCTATTAGTCAACTTAACAACCAGCTCTAAAGAAAAAACTCCCCTGAGTGAAGTTTGAACCAAACACACTTAAGGCTCCTTCTAATTCCAGGAGAAAAAATTCTGAGTGAAAGCAGAAATAAGGCTAATTTCAAGAAGAATACTGAGGATCAGTGAACTGTGAAGATGCAGACAATAAATATTTTAGACACTGTGGCAACCAGCAATGATTCGTTATGGCAAAGAGCTGGCCAGAGTTTAATTAAGGCATTGGCCAGAGTTCAAATTACATTTCACAAAGCGTAATTTTTCACAGAAAGTGAAGCTGAAGTTTTGTCTCCTGGGAAGGATTTTAGTTTCCACACCAGAATTTGGTATCAAACTGCAGGGAAGTCTCTATAGTTTGAAGGTGAACTGGTGGTGGGAGGGAGAAGAAAGGTCAAGGTCTAAGGGCATCAGCCCCGGTTCTCCTAAGAAGCAGCAGCTGGTACCACCAAGAGAGTCAAGTGCGGCTTCCTCCCCTCTGAATACTTACTGTGATGCCATGGGATGCTCCCATATGCTGCACATGAAGACCCGGGGAATTGTAATAAGACATTCCGGCTCTGGTCAGTGAAGTTGGTGGCGTGAAACCAACTGTGTGACTTGCATATGATAGACCTGAAATATAACAATAGCAAGCATTATTTCAAACTCCATTCTCTGGTGTCTTCAACCATCTAGAAGACTTTAAAATGCAAAAGTTCTCAGTCACCAACAAAAATGAACACAGGTAAGAGTAGTGGGCTCACCAAATGGCCTCCTGAGTAAAAGGGGATTATATCAAGTCCTAGAATAGAACAAAGAGCCCAGAAATAGGTCCACACATAAACGGTCAAATAATCTTCAACAAAGGTGCCAAGTATACATAATGGGGAAAGGGTAGCCTCTTCAACAAATGGTACTGAGAAAACCAGATATCCACATGCAAAAGAATGAAACTGGACCCCTATCTTATACCATACACAAAAATCAACTCAAAATGGATTAAAGACTCAAACATAAGACATACAACTATAAGCTCTTAGAATAAAACACAGACGAAAAACTTCATATTGGTCTTAGCAATGATTTCTCAGATGTGACACCAAAAGCGCAGCCACAAAAGCAGAAAACAGACAAGGGGGACTATATCAAACTCAAAAGCTTAAATAGCAAGGGAAATAATCAACAGAAGGGTAATCCATGGAATATGAGAAAATATTGACAAATATATCAGATAAGGGATTAGTATTCAAAATATATAAGGAACTCCTACAGTTCAATAACAAATAAATAATCCGATTAAAAAATGGGCAAAGGACTTGAATAGACATCTCTCCAAAACATACAAATAGTCAACAGGCATATGAAAAGATGCTCAACAGCCTGCAACATTATCCACAATAGCCAAGATGTATAAACCACCTAAATCAAACTCAACACCCAAAAAAACCCAAAAAATCCAGTCAAGAAATGGGCAGAAGACACAAACAGACATTTTTCCAAAGAAGATATGCAAATGGCCAATAGACACATGAAAAAAACCTCATCATCACTCGGCATCAGGGAAATCCAAATCAAAACCTCAATAAGATACCACCTCACACCAGTCAGAATGGCTAAAACTGACAACTCAGGAAACGAAAGATGTTGGTGAGGATACGGAGAAAGGGGAACCCTCCTACACTGTTGGTGGGAATGCAAGCTGGTGCAGCCACTCTGGAAAACAGTACGGAGGTTCCTCAAAAAGTTAAAAATAGAGCTACCTTACAACCCAGCAATTGCATTACTAGGTATTTATCCAACAGATACAAATACGGTGATTTGAAGGGGCACCTGCGCCCCTGTGTTTATAGCAGCAATGTCCACAATAGCCAAACTGTGGAAAGAGCCCAGATGTCCACTGACAAATGAATAAACAAGATGTGGTATACACACACACAATGGAATATTACTAAGCCATCAAAAAGAATGAAATCTTGCCTTTTGCAACGACATGGATGGAACTAGAGGGTATTATGCTAAGCGAAATAAACCAGTCAGCGAAAGACAAATACCATATGATTTCACTCATATGTGGAATTTAAGAAACAAAACAGATGAACATAGGGGAAGGGAAGGAAAAAGAAGATGAAAACAGAGAGGGAGACAAACCATAAGAGACTCTTAACTATAGGAAACAAACTAAGGGTTGCTGGAGGGGAGGTGAGTGGGGGGATGGGGTAATAGGCATTAAGGAGTGCACTTGAAGTAATAAGTACAGTTCTTTAAGCTGTTAAGGATACTTTTGGCTTCCATGGCTGAGACATGCAGCCACCAAGCCCACCTTTAGGTGTCTTGTCCAGAATTTGTGCCCTCAACATCTAAAGTCAAGAGTTTATTTCATTTCTTGATTTGACTATCAAATAGTGCTTTCTATTTGGCATGTTTCCATTCCAATTGTGGATGTGGGGTTCACATTTACAAGATGGAGGTCTGGAGTAAAGTCTAAGTCTTTGGAAACTAAGTGGCATGTTTGTTTTGACCACAAGGACTTCAGCTGGAGGAGGGAAGAAGAAGTTTTATTAAAACAGCTCTGAGGAATACAACCCTAATTCTGTTTCTTATGAAAGTGATGAAATTTAAGAGAAAGGCTATGAAAATGGATCCTTATCCCAAGACAGAGAAGCTCATAATAATAATAAAGATGCAGCCTATTTTGTAGCATTACAAGGTTAATTACTGGTATGTTAGACACTACTCAACAATCTTCAAAGCCTTCCTATTGTCTACCTAAACTAAGGAAAAAAAAGAAATCTCTTCTCTGGATATTATAAAGGCCTCTGCACTTGGCTCCAAACTATCTCTTAATATTGTAGGTCAGTGGTTCCCAACACAGAGTATCAAAGCCCTCGCTCAGGCCCAAATCAGATGAAAACAGAATCTATGGGAACAGGGCCTCAGGGCAGCCCGTGGTTAAGAACCACAGTGACCTTAGCACTCTTGATTCTGACCTCTACTTCAGTTCACATCATGCCCTTTGCCTGGGGTAGCTTCTCTGTACTTTCTCCCCTGTCAATCGGGACCTCAATGAGCCTCTGAAGAGGCAAACAGCCTAGATCCTAGAGCCAACGGCCATATTAGCTCTAGTTCTGCCACTTGGCACTGAGTGACAGTGGACTTCAGATCCATCGACCGTAAAATGAGATTACTGTAGTGGCCTCACAAGGTTGCTGTGGGGATGAAGTGAGTAAATATCACAGTGCTCAGTGTGCCTGGCCAACGATAGCCTCATTAAGCTTCAGCTCATGAAGCTCCTTTAAGGCCCATCTCAAAAGTGCTCAAAGCTGGGTAGCTCTCTCTTCTTTGAATCTCTTCTTAAATTATTTAGATTTTTTTCAATTATAACTTTTTATTTTGAAACCGTTTACCACTCGCATGAAATTGCACACACACTACAGGGTTCCCGTGGGCCCTGCAGCCAGCCTCCACCAACGAGCTGTTCTAGAAGCACAGCACAGTATCAACCCCAGGAGACTGACACAGGTCCCTCCTAGTGACGAAGGCACAGACTGGAGTTGGACTCCATCAGAGTTTACTGTACTCTTCCTGTGTGCACGTGTGTACACAGCTCAAAGTAATTTGATCACATGTGTAGATTAGAGTAACTGTCATCACAATCAGCTGCAGAACTGCTCCATCACCACAAAGAAACCCCCTCGTGTCAGTCCTTTCACTCGGCACACCTTCCCTGTCATCCTACGCCCCAGCAATGACTGATCTGTTCCCTGTCACTGTAATGTTGTCACTTTGAGAATGTTCCAGAAATGAAGTTGTACAGTATATAACCCTCCACGGAGTGGATGTCCTGCAATTCAGCTATTTCACCTTCTGCATAAAATTCATTATGCGTGGCCTTGTAAAGTTTCTTGTAAAGAGTTTCTTGTTTGTCCACCCCCGCAACCCTTCCCCAGGCCCTATTGTTGATGATAAGCTCTTAGAGGCCAGACCATACCTTAGTACTTTTTGTTTCCCTTAAGTTCTAATCATCATGTGTCTGACCCTCTGGCCCACGAAATCAATACAGGATGAGAATCCAAAAATACCTAGGTTGAAAATGCCAAACCCCAAACACCAGTCTACTAATAAATCAAATACTGTGTCTTTTCGAAGCTATTGCTACAATAGATTTCTCTTGCTTTCATATAGAAATGCATTAACTAAAGTGAAAATGGTTAAGACTTTATTTCACTGTCCACAAGCTCAAGGCTGCAACTTTAAAAGATGATTAATTAAAAGCAATTCATGACAAAAACCACTAAGCAAAATGAAGCAAGTAGAGAAGTGTATAATCTGTGTGAAACCAACTATCTAAAGGAACATTGCAGCAGAAAGGGGTAGGGAGAGGAGACACCTAAAAACACCACCTTTGGATAGGATTCTGGATGACTTTATTTCTGCTTATACCCGTCTAATTGTCCCCAAATTTTCTTTAGTATCTTTTGGCTAATGAAAAAAAAAAAATTGTAGAGCCAAACTAAAGGCACAAAGCTTTCTTCCTTTTAAGATATTTTAGATTATAATTTTAAGATATTTTAGTTCTAGAAGTTACACGTAAGACCACGGTCTTTGCAAAAATTCAAATATAGACACAATTTCCTCTTTAAATCTCCCTAATTTGGCTCAGTCCCCATCACTCCATCAGCGCTGCTCTTGCAAGGTCAGCAGTGTTTCCGTGCCGCTGGTTGCGACAACCATTCTCCACTCCTCATTGTACTTGACCTTGGAGAGCCTCTGACAAAGCCGACCACTCTCTTCTCGGTGAAAGGCTTTGTCTTAACTTCAGTGAGATCATATTCCAATTTTCTTTCCACTCCCCTGGTAGCCACTTCCCAATCTCCTTCGCCAGGTTTTCCTCCTGTACTTGACCTCCAAATAACACAGTTGCTTCAAGATCAGACAGGAGGGCTTTTCTCTGCTCCCTTTATCTACTAGGACTAAGTGACATCTCACCTATTTCTCTGGCTTTCTTTAAAAATAAACTTTTAATTCTAGAATAGTGTTAGGTTTACAGAAAAGTGGCAAGAGTAACACAGACAGTTCCTGTATGGCCCATGCTCACTCCCCTATTATTAACACCTTATGCTAGTATAATACATTCGTCACAACTAATAAACCAAGGGGCACCTGGGTGGCTCAGTCAGTTAAGCGTCTGCCTTCGGCTCAGGTCATGATCCCAGGGTCCTGGGATCAAGTCCCGCATCAGGCTCCCTGCTCAGTGGGGAGTCTGCTTCTCCCTCTGCCTGTCGCTCCCCCTGCTTATGCTCTCTCTATCAAATAATAAAGTCTTAAAAAAAAACAACCAATAAACCGATACTGATAACATTATTATTAACTCAGATCCACACTTCTCTGGATATCCTGAAGTTTTACCTAATGTCCCTTTTTTGTTCCAGGATCCCATTTGGATGCCACTTAATATCTGTCAGGTCTCCTTAGGCACCTCTCAGCTGAGGCAGTTCCTCAATTCTCCTTGTTTTTGATGAGCTTGTCACATTTGCAGTATATCAATCAGGTATTCTGCAGACAGACTATCCCTGAGCTGGGATCTGTCTGACGTCTTCCACGTGGTTAGACTGGGTTACGGGTTTTTTGGAAGAAGTCCAAAGAGGTAAAGTGCCATTTTCATCACATCAAGGGTATGTGCTATGGACAATGGCCCCCCACTGTCGACGTGGACCCTGAGGCCATGTTTGTCAACTCTCCCCACTGTAAAGCTACTCTTTTTTTCCCTTTACCACACTTACTCTTTGGAGGGAAGACCCTATGTCCTACCACATTTAAAGAGTGAAGAGTTATGTCTACTTCCTTGAGAGCAGAGTATCCACATAAATTATGTGGAATTCTTTCGAAGGACAGATTTGTCTCTTCTACCTTGTTTATTTAGTCCGTCATTTATTTATATTAGTATGA